TTTACATTTTTCTGGGTTCTCGCCCGAAAAGGTATTTATTTAATTAAAACATCATAAATGTGGTCCACCAGTCCGTACATCTCGTCACTCTCATTGACCTCCGGGATGGGCTCCATGATCAGTATTGTTACCTGCGTGTAGCAAGTAAAACAAACTACACGCTCAGCGTCAGCTGAGGAATACGCTAATACAACAATTCCAAGTTGAATAGCAAGTAGACATATAATTATCATGATATGACATAATATAGCATGTATGCTCAAATGATGATTGTGATACGTAATGGATGTCATACATAGTCATAATGATTGCATTTGCTTGATGATGAATTCATGCTGTATGATTCTAGGTCACAAGGACAAGCCTTGAACTATGAGATTCGCCCATTTTGTACGACGAACTCACGCATAAATAGGGGTGGTACTCGAAAGCCTAAGTACCATGTACGTACACTAAGCCCGGTCCGTGATGTCGGACTGCTAAGTCCCGCACAATCACAACTACAAGAGACGCACTTCCGCCTAATCTCTTGCGCATGCACATGATGTGATATGTTTCAATATGGATGATGAAATGAATCACATGATATGAACAATTTGTAAACAACATGATTGGATAAATATACTTTATTTTATTTGGATGAAATCTGATAAAAATATCATTTAATTAAGCTACGGGACTCGGAACGGTCAACCGTTTGGCGCGAATCTTTTTTTTATTTTTTTCTTTTTTTTTGACATCTAAAATACTTCTTTGAGTTATTTTAACACTTATGATTAACATATCTATGTATTTAAAATATTCTTAACATTTACATTTTCATTTAAGGTGAAGTATCAAGAAAAACATATTTTTACTTTATGAGTCTAATGAGTTTGATCTTAAAGCACAAATGACTTATAATATGGCAATCAATCCTAACGATGTATCTAGATTGATATTCAACCAAGGATTGCGTTACTAGGGTGCAATGTACTCGCCTTGATAACGTTGAAGACAGAAGTGATAGGAATAAAGTATACGCCTCAACGAACGTTCAACGTACGGACACCTCTATCAACTTCAAGCTTCCAACGTCGGGTCTTCTCTACGATGCTCTCTGGGAGTTCAAGGTGACGGTTTGCTGCTGCCAGGATTTTGAAGAAACTATGATGATTTCTTCTTCTTGTTTCACCAATGGAGTTGAAGTTCTTCCTCTTTCCTTTGCTTGAATGAATAGAATTGACGACGAAGTCGCTGCTGCATTTTTTACTCACGATTTTGGAAAACTTTGATATTTCTTCTTGCTCCTTCTTCTTCCCTTGGCTCAACAATGGAGTTGAGAATTCTTCCTCCTGAGTTTCTGCCGAGAGAGGGAGAGGATGGTGATGGGATGAATGATGGATGGATGATGGTGGTAATGTGTGAGGATGGTGGTGGTGGTGGTAGGGTAATAATATAGGGAAGAGTAATTGGAGGGATGTGGTGGTGGGGTCCTAATGTGGTTTGATTGAGGATTGGAAGAGATGGGGGGAGTGTCTCTACGTGATTTGGAGGGTTTGGGGAATCAAATATATTCTCCTACTCCGTAACTGATAAACTGGCTAAAACGGTACGCGCTTTTTCGCCCAAACTATTCCGTTTTGAAAACGGGTCGCGTTTTTGGAATCAGATTGTCAAAACTAGAATTTTGATATAATTAAAATATTTTTCTGGAAACTTTTATTTTTCAGTGTTCGGGTCTGCCTCAGTCATTGACTAATTTTTAAATTAAATAATTCTTTTAGGCCTAATTTCGGGGCGTTACATGAAGCCTAAGTGACTTATTCTAGATTGTTCGTCCAAATGTTTTTCTCAAACAAAAATGAGTAATATCATGTATGCATGTAATATTCTTCATAATATGATCGTAGAAGACAACAAGTTTATGATTTGTCAATACAACCCAGACGAAGATGTGCCTATGTACGAAGAAATCGACGAATTAAAAAAACGAAGAAACCGCCAAGAAATTCGAAGCTGAGAGATTCACAATGCACTAACGGCAGACATATCTTGAGTCGCTCGAATACTTAGTAATTTGTTTGTAGTGTTGTTTTTTTATGGATGTAATATTTTTTTAATGAATGTAATTTTTTTAGTGAATGTATTTTTTTATGGATGTAATTTTTTTTAATAAATGCAATTTTTTTAATGCACTATTCTCCTTTAGATTATTTTAAATAATTAAAAGTTATTAATTTAAATTTAGAAGATGTATATTTAAAAATGTAAATAATGAAGGTTTGAAGCCCCTGTTTCAAGCCCCGCTTCAAACCCATTTTCATTGAATCCGTGAGGTAATTTAAAGCTGACGTGGCAGAGAGAGAAATTTTGAAGCCTGATTTAAACCCCGGGGCTTCACGGGTATTTCCAGTGCCCTAAGAGAACTTTATAATTATAAACAAATGAGGTGTTTTAGAATATATGCAGGAAAAAATCAATTAGAGGATCCTATTTTGTTTAATGTCACACACACGAGGATCATTTGATAACACTACGGAGTACTCCATCTGTCCCCACGTTGATTACAAATTGAAGTTTACAAGGAAAAAAATTTCCCACTTTTTGAAATTATTTTATTTACAAATTGGTATATCAATAAGAAATTAAAATTACATATTAAAAACTACATCAAAAGTTCTACAAAACAAGAGGTGACAAAATATTTTATTTTATCAAATACTTAATGAAACTACGTAAATAAATAAAAGTTATCGAGGGGAGAGGAAAAAAAATTATACTCGTACTCCGTAATAAAAATGAGGACAGAGGGATGTGATGTGTTTTAATACAACAACTTTGTTCGAGAATTAGAACCCTTTTATGAGACCGATGGAATTTTTGCTTAAAACTAAAAGTATACCCT